TTTTAATTTCTCGTGACATCCTTAGTATCATTATGACTAGAAAAATTATGACGTTTATGGGTAAGAATTTCAATTCAATTCAATTTATTGACTCTCCAAAAGCCATTAATGGCTATTATCTGCAAGATAACATCAATACACAAAATGGATACTATAACTTATACACCCACCTCACACCCACACTCTAGATGATTTAGAACAATTTTTTTTTCCAATTTTATGCACATACAATTATCTTTTTCCCCCTCAGCTCTTGGAATTTCGTCTATCTTACTCGTCAGCATTGGTTATATTAGTAATGACGTAACGCTCTCTGTCATTGTAATGACCATCGCATTTGGGGTGTATGGATTCATCGATTCTGGAGCTTCAGCAAATCCGATGGACATTGCACCGATTCATTCCGGATTAATAATCGGACTTATGTTTTCAATTTCAAGTGTTTCTGGTTTTATCAGTCCAACTGTGTTGGGAGCCTTGACCAACAAGAATGTAAGTCAATCATAAGACCAAATTTGTGTCCAAGCACAGTAGCTAGGTTCACATTCAGAATTTAACGTGATCTAGTGGATCATGATCAAGCCAGTCACTTTATGTGAACCAACCAGAATCAAATAACGTGCTCAGCTTAATCACCTTATTGTGATCTAGTGGAGCATGTTGATTCATCATGATTAACCTTGGTTAGCGTGATAAATTAATTCATGAGATTCAATTCAACCAATCAGCCTTCAGTTTATTAAACAGGTCCCAACCTCATTGGTTGTGCTTCTGGTAGTTTTCATGCAACACTGCACGCATTAGCATAAATTTATCATGATGATGGTTTCTATATGAACGGTTTTCTCTAACATGCTAAAGTTATCATGATGAATAGATCATGATAAGTTTATCACGATAGCTTATGTGAACGTACCTAGTGAGCATTTTAAACCAAGGTCGGTTAGTCGGATTATTTTCAACTCTAACCCAAGGTAAATTAATTGATCGTGTATGGCCAAGTGTCTTTTAAAGCCGTACAGATATCTTGAGTTTAAAGGAAGAAAATTGATCAAAATAAAACCGACCATAATTTTCCGAGATTATTGGGTCCTTCGGTCTTGGAAAACAGACTACTTTGTTTGCCTAATTTTTACCTACATCAAAATGCCTATCGATCGACGGACCGATTAACTGATCCATTGATCAACAAAGCAATCGGTCAATATAGATCGATCTATGTAGGTTGTACGTAATCGATCAATAAATCGATTAATTAATAAATACATTAATTAGTCAATCAATTAATAATGTCAATTAATTTATTAATCAGTTAATCAGTTAAATGGGAAAAAACTTAAATTTTTCAAACAAATCATTTTCTTTCAGGAAACAATATACCAATGGAGAAATGCATTTTGGATTGTATCGGGAGTGCAAACAATTGGACTGTTAGCGTTTTTGATTTTTGGAAGTGGCGAAATACAAGATTGGTCCAAAGCCGACGGTAAACCGGACAAAGATTTGCCCCTTTTGCTGAGGAAGCAAGAATCGCAAGAAAGGAATGATGGCTCAATACACTAAATATACAGTAATTGCCTATCTATATGTCAACATTTTACGGATTTTTACCAATGCAGAAAGTCTAACTGTTAATTTGGAATTAGGCCTACCAAAACACAATAGCTACCATATATAAGACAACTATATCTTAACAAATTGACTGTTTAATGAGAGATATCTTAATACATCCCTTGGCCTAATCCATTTTTTACAAGAGCGTTCAGTGGTTGCAATCCTATAGTAGGCCAACATTATCCCTTTGTAAAGGCTCAGTCAAACTTGGCCTGCGACTATTACGACCCAACCGAAAAATATTGAAATCGAGGGAAAATCATCAAAAGAACATGCAACAAGTCATAGACGTCGTGGGCCATTGCCAGAGCAAATTCAGTAGTTGCAGCAAATGGATGGTCATACTTACAGCTCTGCCCTCAAATTCCAAATTTTAAGCGATCGCGGGTAGGCCTACGTTTTTGCATGGTCGCACGTCGCGGGTCATGCGGTCGCACGATTGGTCAAGCAAATGTTGTACCACCTCACGATTGGTAGAGACACCAGTTGCACGACCGACTGGTTGCACGACCAGTAGTCCTACACTTTCTGTTTTTTTTATAACAGCCAGTAAAATTTTGCCCAATTTTTTTTGCCGATTTTACGCTCAAAATGTTCTTATTTTGTTCTTATTTTTATACACTTTTCAAACATACACAAATATTATTTTACAGCAGTATATTGTTATACTATATTATAGAGGGTATTACATAGTCACAGCTACTGTAAATAAGGTACCAAAGATTTGTTGGTTTCTTCTATTTAAAATAAAAATGTCACTTGACAATTTACTTCAGCCTTATTCTGTTCTTTGTGTTCTTAATTTTTAAGCGATATCGGCCTCAGTCAGTGTTCTTGATGATGACCTGTAGTCGTTTGATTTGACTGCTATTGCCGCAGTGGCGTATTAAGGGGTGCTCAGGGTGCCCCCCACCCTCACTCAGAGGTTGAAAAAAAATATAAGTGCCCCTTTTTAAGTATTAAAAAATAACTGACATAAATTATAAGTATTACAGTGACATTTTCTGGCATCTAAAAGAAAATTCTTAAAATGTTCTCACCTCAGCCTCATCCTTGATGGTAGTCAGGTGGATATAGTAATTTTCGTAGTTTTTAAGTACGTATTCAAGTGCCATTTTCCGGCATCTGAAAGTCTCAAATTCCTACAATTGTCTTACCTCAGCCTCAACCATGGTGGGCTGAGGTGGATGGATTGGTAGTTTTCATAAATTTTAATTATCCAAGTACCGTTTTCGGGCAACTATAAAGTCTTAAATTCTTAAAATTTACTCACCTGAGTCCAAACCATTTGATATGGTAGTTTTTAGAGTTGGAAGTATTTAAGAGTCATTTTCGGGTACCTATTTAATTCACTCGGGTTTTTTTTTACTCAATTCGTCAAAAACTAAAAGAATTAAAAGGTAATTTAAGTTCTATTTTCAGGCATCCAGAGGTATAAAATACTGAAATTTTCGCGTTAACGCCAACCACGCTGGCGCTGACGTGGTGTGGTCTCGCTTTTCATTAGCACCCACTCCGACCTTCCTTAAATCCTGGATACGCCACTGTTGATGAAAACAATTATACAATATTTTTATTCGTTTTGTTGTTCATGTGAATTTCTGATATGTTATTACTTTAGAACAATGCTAAAAACACATATTTTCAGGCATCCAGAGGTATAAAATACTGAAATTTTCGCGTTTAACGCCAACCACGGTTGCGCTGACGTGGTGTGGTCTCGCTTTTCATTAGCACCCACTCCGACCTTCCTTAAATTCTGGATACGCCACTGTTGCTGAAAACAATTATACAATATTTTTATTCGTTTTGTTCATGCCATGGGTCACGACGCATGTTTGGGTCGTGGACGAAATTTTGAGGGTCGCCAGATCGCATCTGGGTCTAAAAAAAGATTTTATAAGTGTTGGTAGTACTAAACAAATATCCCTGTGAAAATTTCGAACTAAAACTTGTTATAAAACGACTATTTCCAGCGGCGTAGCGAGTTGGTGACGGGCCCCAGTTCAAGATAATTGCTGAAACCTAAAGGCACCTGGTCGGACGCAGAGACTAGAGAGAGCCTTGGTGGGGTCTCTTACTGCATAACATTACATTCTGAAATTGTTTAAAACGGATACGGCATTGTAAAGAGCATAAATTATAAAATATTCAAAAACATATTGAGAACAAAATAATTATAGTGAAGTCATATATATTTTATCGTCTACGTTGGTAATTTTTAGGAGTCTCTGATAAAGTATAATATTGACATGTTGAATGCTTGCGGTACACGGTACACGATAGTTCTAAAAAGAACTGTTGTTTTGCTGAGAAAGTCTCGATGTTTCGATTGATATCATACTTCTGATGACGATTGAAGCAACTCAATCGAAACGTATTCTCAACAAAACAACTTTTCAGAAAGATCTATTTACGCGTCCTACGTGTTGTACCGCAAGCATTTACTGTAACATGGCCGGCGGAACCGGGGGCCGGAGGGCCCGGGCCCCCCACTTTTTGGCAAAAAAATGTATAATGTCTGGAGATTTGTGTATGTATGATCTGAAATGCAAGAAAAGAAGGAGGGAAGAAGGAGGAGAAGGATGGGAAAGAGAATTCATTAATTAATTGAATCATTTTCAAGAGGTGGAGGTGGGGGGGGGGGGCACCTTGAATTTTGAAGAAAGTCGGGAAAGCTCATTGCCCACCATTTAGAAATCAACATTTCCCGGGAAGAACTCGAACCTCCCTTTCTTTGGGTTCATTGATTCATTATAAAAATTTTCAAGAGGGGAAAACCTTAAATTTTGAAGAAATTAAAAGTAATTAAAAGACACCTCAGAAGTCGGGAATGCTCATTTCCCGCCTTCTAATCAAAATTTTCCTGGGGAGAACCCCGGATCCCCTTTCTTTTTGGGATTTATCGATTCATGGAAAAAAATCGTATGCAACTACTCAATTTTTTGTGTAGGCCTATGTATACACACATAAGGCCTATCTACTGTAATAACAATAGGGAAAATTTACCTGACCGTTTTGAAGAGCGGAAAACTTTTAAAGTCACTAAAAGATACTTCAGAAGTCTGGAAAGCTCATTTCCCACCATTTCGAAATAAACATTTTCCCAGGAAGAACCTGAACCTCCCTTTTCTCTTTGGATTCATTGATTCATTATAATAATTTTCAAGGGAGGAAACCTGGAATTTTGAAGAACTTGAAAGTAATTAAAAGACACCGCAGAAGTCGGGAAAACTCATTTCCCGCCTTCTAGGAATCAAAAAAAATTTTTTTTTTAAATTTTTATGTATGTATACACACATAAGGCGTATCTACTGTAATAACAATGGTAAAAAATTACCTGACCGTTTTCAAGAGGGAAAAATCTTGAATTTTGAAGAACTTAAATGTAATTATAAAACACCTCAGAAGTCAGGAAAGCTCATTTCCCGCCTTCTAGGAATCAAAATTTTCCCGGGGGAGAACACCCGGACCACCCTCTCTTTTTGGAAATCATCGATTCATGGAAAATTAGTATGCAACTACTCATTTTTAAACAAATTTTATGTATGTATACACAAAAGGCCTATTTACTGTAACAACAATGGGAAAAATTACGGTACCTGACCGTTTTCAAGAGGGAAAAACCTTGAATTTTGAAGAATTTAAAAGTAATTAAGACACCTCAGGAGTCGTGAAAAAGCTCATTTTCCGCCATCTAGGAATCCCCCTTTTCTTTGCAGCTTATCGATTCATTGAAAAAACAATATGTATGCAACTACTCATTTTTTTTAAATGTACGTATACACACATTAACAGGCCTATTTTCTGTAATGAGAAAGTTTACCTTACCGTTTTCAAGAGGGGGAAAACCTTGAACTTTGAAGAACAAAGTCATTAGACACCTAGCTCAAAAGTCGAGAAAGGTCATTTCCCGCCATCTAGAAATCAAAATTTTCCCGGGGGAGAACACCCGGAATGTTGACCCAACAAAACCTAGGTTTGATTCCAGATCTGCATGATTCATATTCCCATTCATCTTATAAGTGCCCCCCCCCCCCACTTTGAAAAACGTTCCGCCGGCCCTGTGTAATGCATTATTACTTCGACATGCAAACCTCCAAACAATATAATATTGACAACAGGGAACAACAATAGAACAATGATTTCAGTGAAGTAAAACGTATTCATGAAGTATGATGACCTGGAGTGATTCAAAAACGTGCACAATATAGTTCCCTGGTTGAACAAACTTTATAGGCCTATCAAACAAAAACTTGTGTGCCGATATTTCAATTGCTTTTGAATATGCTTATAAAAAGTATTTTAGTGCATCGTACCGTGAAGCATACGTAAATACCACATGGAAGAAAATACCCTTGTTGCATTAAACATGTTTTGTTGAAAGTCATCCTACATGCTGTGTTTGGGGGCACGTAATAGGTACATTTTTATAAATATAATCGATAATTATGGCCTCTAAACCTAATAGACCTAGTATAATTGAGGGGAAAGTTTAAGTAGGAATTTTTAAAGTTAAACCTTTAGATCTATTCCCCAGTGCTCTGCACTGGCTGCACTGCCTATACCTACACCACTGACTTATGCCTATTTCTTCAAATTGTTTTGATCTGTTATGAACTGACAAGCTTAACAAAACTCCCTGTGGTGTACTCTGTCATTATCAGCACTCAAGAAATTAATACATCACGCAAGTTTTTTTTTAACCAAATTATTGTGATTGAACATCCCAGCCTGCTCGGAAATGACACTCTCAGACTTTTTTTGCAATTTATTTTTCTACATAGGAGGTCGAGATACATGAAAAGATGTGGGTTATATTTGTAATTAAAATTGTTTATTCAGCAGATTAATCTCACAAAGATAAACAATTGTCCGGCCCGTATCCAGGGGGGTTTATGGTCCGGAAGAACCCCTTTTCTAGCAAACCCCCCTCTTTTCTGGTGAAATCCCCCTCTTTAAATTTCCCAAATAAGTCTTCCAACCCAACTAATGCACTACAGACCAACCCAGACACAGACTAGACATTTTCAAACATATCTGCTTTTATAGCATTATTTAGACCCATAAAGTACAAAAATCATCTTGCTTTGGGGGTTTCGCCGGCCCCATCGGGGCTTCGACTGTGGACCTCACGCCCAGAACCCAACACCCCCGCCCCCCTTGGAAAAACCTGGCTACGGGCCTGTGATTGTACTATATTCGGCTGGTGCATATGAACTTCTATTTAGAGACATAATTTCATTATTTTCCTTCCAAAAAATTATTAAACGTTAAATAGACACTCATATTTAAGTTAATTGCTATTCAGTTCACAATCGTCATGTAGTCTTTACCAATTATCATGCAGTCATTACCAATCACTATGATGATTGTGAACTGAAGGCAGAGGATAATAATAATTTAAATGTAAAAAGTCATATCCATTAATGAATGTAGGTTAATAATTATGATCTTACTCTTTATCTGTTTAGATTGAATTGTAGTAAAAACTGTATATTTCTATAATAGTGGATAAAATCTAATTAAAACAGAATATTTTATTGAACAGGTTATTCATTTATTAACAAAATTACCAATAGTAGTCGATAAGTAATCGATTTCGCAATTGTTACCAGTTGCGATTGGGTGCTACAATCCTTATTACTCCCGATTACCACGGAATCCGATCGCAACGGATTCCACAGGCAGTGATTAGTTGAGGTCAAACAAAACAGGAAGACCTGTATCGTTGCTAGTGATGTAAAAGTATCAAAGTAAAAGTTGTCTG